TCAATCTCTTTCGTTATTTCAAATTTTTTTAAACTTAACCTCTAATATTCAGGTGTCAATCAATCAGTTTATCAATCAACCAAACAATCTCTCTCTCACCCTCTCACTCTCTCTCACTGGTTCATTTATTCAACCTTTCTTTCAGTCATTCATTCATTGTTAGTTAGCTCGTTTGCGCTTTCATTCAACAATTCAATTTTTTCATTCATTCGATCATTCATTTGTTCGTTCATGTGATTACTTGTTTATTCGTTCGTTCGTTCGTTCATTAGTTCGTTCATTCGCTCATTCATTTGTTCGTCCATTTGATTGTTCGTTCATTCATTTGTTCAAATTCTTTGGGAAGTTTTCCATGTACATATATATTTTATCACTATTATGTATTGTACTGAGTTATTTGTTCTCTCATCTTGACATAAGCCTCAATTAATTTTTCTTCGTTTCTTCATTCATTCATTTTTATTCACAATTCATTCCTTCATTCATTTATTCATTCATTCATTCTTTTTTTCAATCATTCATTCATTCATTTATTCAATCATTCATTCATTCTTTCTTTCAATCATTCAATCATTCATTCATTCATTCATTCATTCATTCATTCATTCATTCATTCATTCATTTATTCATTCATTCATTCATTCATGTATATCAATGAATGAATGTCATTTCTTTGAGAATATTCAAGTTGAATTGATGCCATTGTTCAGCTTGACATAGAATTTAAAGTTTCAAAACTGTTATTATTAACTGTTGTTATTATTTCAAAATTGTTATTATTGCAGAGGACGATGACTATGATGATGATGATGACGACAACGATGATGATGATGATCGTCTGTTTACTTATTATGATTGCTTTCTTAATTAATTGATAATGACGATTATGATGATGATGATGATGGTTACGATGATGACGACGACGATGTGATGATGATGACGTTGCTTTTTAACAGAATATTAATTTTGTAATATAATAATAATGGTGATAATAATATTTACCATGGATATTTAAAACGCATTTAATTATTATTATTATTATTATTTATATTATTTGTTATTATTATTTCTGTTATATTGATGGTGGTTGTTGTAGTAAGTGTTTGTCGTAGTATGAAAGTAAATTAAGTATGACAATAATACTAATTAACATTCGCTTGTCATCGTCATCACGGTCGTCATCATCACCACCATCATCATCACCATCAACAACGTCACCATCATCATCATTATCGTCGTCATTATCATCGAAACATCACCATCGTCATAATTTTTTTCATCATTATCAACAACAACAGCAACATCATCATCATCATTCCCATCATCATCGCCAAATAACATCACTATCATGATCATCGTCTTCGTCATCATCATCATTAACCACCAAAAGCTCATTTCTCCGTGGATTTCTATTTAATTTGAGTAGTAATTAATATAATAAATAATTATAATGATGATGGTGATAAGGTTGTTAATATGTAGGTGATATATTCCTTGATTAATTAATTAGTTAATTGGTTTATTATTCAATCAATCATTCAGTAATTGATTAATATTACTCATCGCTTAAAATAATTAGCGTTGTAGCTTCATAACTCTGGGTAAACGAACAAACAAACAACCAAACAAACAAACAAAACAAACAAAACAAACAAACAAACAAACATACATACATACATACACACGTACAATTGTTTAATTACAAATAAACATACATACATACATACATACATACATACATACATACATACATACATGTTTGATGTTTGACGGTTCAGTGTCACTCATCATGTTTTGGTTTTAACATACATACATACATACATATATATATATATATATATATATATATATATATATATATATATATATATACATACATATATATACATACATACATATATACTTACGTACACACATACCCACATACAAATGCTTACATACATAAATACATACTTAAACAATACAAACATACAAATCTATACATATGATACTTATTGCGTGAATATAGTAATGTATATGTGTATGTATATGTGTATATATATATATTGGATTAAGACTGTATTCATCAATAATTGCATATATATATATATATATATATATATAATATATATATATATATTATAAAATTAATATTCATATATTCATACATTCATTAACATAATTTATAAGATATCGTTTGTATATTTGTTTGTTCGTTTGTTTGTTTTAGTTTAGTAACTTAGTATCAGGTTTTTATAATGTTAATGTTGTAATTATTGTTTGATATATGATAGATATGTGTACATTAGAAATGTATGTATGTATGTTTGTTTGTTTGTATGTTTGTATGCATGTATGTTTGTATGTATGTATGCATGCACGTACGTTTGTATATAATACCGATTTGTATACTTCATGTACTACCTTGTTTTTTATTGGCTGCCATCTTATAACTTGAAATTTCTTTCAATCATTTCATTGATTAGACTAATTGGTATGAGCGATTTCATTGGTTGCCTGGTTCGTTGGACATTCATCAACCAGACGAGTGTCTGATTTTTTTTTTTTTGATTGATTAAGTTGTTGATTGATTTTACTGTTCAGTCTTTTTGATTGGTTCATTGGTTGGCTTTCGGTTGGTTAGAAATACCATCTTTGTTTTTATTAATTATCGTTTGTCGCCGTTGTTATTTTTATTGTCTTTGGTATCGTTAAATTTGATCTTTTCTCAATTTTGAAATTTAAAACGAACTGCGTTCTTTTCTTTGCCAGCTTCTTTTTGTTGCTTTTGGTTTAAAACTTAGTTAAATTTATTATTTTTTTTATTTTTGTTGTTGTTTACTTTTTTTATGGTTTTTATGGTTAAACTCTCTCCCGGTTTATTCCAATGCTCATAAATATCGTTATATATATATATATATATATATATATATATATATATATATATATATATATATATATATATATATATGTTGGTAATAGACCATAATTTTTACAATATTCTATAAATTCTACCGAATGTTGGCGTTAATATGTTTGTAGTTAATTTT